CGCAGAGATCTGAACCGGCGCGGCGGCCTTGTTCTTGACCCGGGGAGGTCCACGGGAGGCCTCCATTGTAATGGTTCTGTATTGACTGATCCCGCTAAAGAGGTAGTCGCGACTCAAAATGATGTAAGGTGAGGTTCGGAGACGTCGAAATTGTCGGGCAAGCAATGCCGGTTCGGCAAGTCGAGGGGCTTGGAGGTTGAAGCAGGCTTCACCAAACCGCGGCGATCGGTTAACTCAGAGATTGGCAGGAAAGTTTCTCACGCCCAATTCAGTGACGCCGAGAGTAGCTTGGACCCGTAGCTCAGAGAATCCGCGATGAAATCGCCAAACTGCGTGATTGGTCTTTATCGCCACCCGCACACCTAGCTTCCTTCTGACTAAGCACAACTTTTCTTCCCAACCTAGACTTTGGGAATATAATTGCTCTTCTTTCCAGTTTACCCAGTGGCGTCCTGGGACCACGATTACACGAACCTCAATTTACGGTCGCGCACCCGTTACACAACCTTCTAAACCAAAATGTCGACCGCCGAAGAGCTTCTACGCGACTTTGAGGATGACGATGACTTCGATGTGGGCGAAGGCGAGGAAGTCGACGAAGAGCTCGAGCAACAGGAAGAGTCCAAAGAAGGCGCCGGGGTTTCCAACGAATTCGACCGCTCTATTTCTACAGCTGATGAGCTGACACGCCTACACAAAGTCCTGCGCGACTATTACTCCGTCCGATTCCCTGAGCTCGAAAGACTCGTCACCACCCCCATCCAATACGCCAAGACAGTCGCTATCATCAAAAATGGCCCTTTCAACGACATCAAGACATTGTCCACATCATCGGAGAACATGGTTGGTGTCCCGCTCAAGTCAGTCTTGAACGGACCGTCTCTCATGGCAGTTGCGATGGAAGCAACTATCACCAAAGGTCGAGAGATGACCGAGTCCGAGCTCAAGCTGGTTCTCGATACCTGCGAAAGGATCTTGAAGCTTGATCAGGAGCGCATTGCTCTTACCGCCAGTATCCAGTCTCGCATGAATCAGATTGCCCCTAACCTGGCAGCACTCATCGGGGCCGAAACAGCTGCACAGTTCCTCAACCAAACAGGTGGATTGCTTGAGCTAGCTAAGATCCCCGCCTGCAATCTGGGCGCACAAGGATCACGGAGATCAGAAGGACTGGGCTTTGCGACTAATCACGGTGTTCGAGCAAAGGGTTTCCTTTACGACTCGCCAATCCTGGAAGATGTTCCCGAGGACCTCAGGAAACAAGGAATTCGAATTGTTGCTGCCAAGATGGTACTCGCTTCCCGCGCGGATGTCTCCAATTACGCCAAGGACGGCTCTCTAGGCGAAGAACTGAAGCAACAATGCTTCACGCGACTGGAGAAACTGACCGAGAACTCTGCGCCAAATGCCGGTACAAAGGCTCTCCCTGCGCCCGATGACAAACCCTCCAGAAAGCGAGGTGGTTGGCGGGCCCGAAAGGCCAAGGAAGCTGTCGCTATGACGGAACTACGAAAGGCCCAGAATCGTCTTGCATTCGGCAAGGAGGAGTCGGAGGTGGGCTACGGCACAGGCTCTGGAACCGTTGGCTTGGGTATGCTGGGACAACAGGACGATGGTCGCATCCGCGCAACCCAGATCGACCAGCGCACCCGTGCCCGACTCAGCAAGAACAACAAGGGCTGGGGCACAAACACCCCCGCCAGTGGCACTGCCTCGTCATTGCGTGGCTTTGGTCAGGGTGGTGCAAGTGGCACTGCATCCGTTCTTCAAGCACGAGGTCTTCGTGCATCTGGTGTCGGCTCATCTCTACCTGGCGCCGCTGGTACCTCCAGTACAATCGCATTCACACCCGTTCAAGGTCTGGAGCTGGTCGACCCCAAGGTACAGGCGGAACTGAAGCGCAAGCGTGACGCCGAGGAAAACCGGTGGTTTAAGTCTGGAACTTTTACTCAAGCTCCTAACCAGACTCCTGTCAATCCCCAGAGCGGCGAGAATGGCGGCTTCAAAGTACCTGCTATCCCACTCAAGAGGAAGGCTGATACGGGCGAGGGCAAGATGGGCCCTCCACCCAAGCGTTGAGAGTTATGTTTTTCCAATTGCTTTTATCGGGTCCCAGCATTATGACGGCGTTTCAAGGGGAACAGGTCTGAGCTTCTATGATTTACGTGATACCAAACCGATTGTACATTAAGATCTGACAGACTTAAAATCACATTTAAAATAAAGAAACATATATAAATTACAGCATTATCAAAGAAAAAGTAGAAAGGAAAAAAAATACCGGGGATGCCAAGCATTGCACCATCTCATTGGGGAATTGCCCCCCAGGATTTATAGAACTTTGGGGTAAACGGTTTAGGGCTGGATGTCTCAGGATAGGACGGAGCAGGATTTAATCCCGTGAGATAATAGACATGCCCTAATAGACTAGACAATAGACCTAATCGAACTAATATACCTAGACCTAATGCCTAAATAGTAACGGGTGTAACTCTATCAAATTCGCCCACATTGCGTGCTTCTGCTCTCTTGGAAAGCACACAATCACTGTGGAATGTGGTACAAAATTTTGCGCCATGGTAGCGGTCAAGATAATCTATATAAACTGCCTGGTATCTCTTTCATTTATTTTGCGTATATTCTATAAAATTCTGTCTATATAAAACTCAGATTCGCCTCCGCATTCCGAATTTTTCCCGATCTTAATTTTTGCGCTTTTCAATTTTCTTATTTCTCTCAAATTTGGAATATTTCAAGTCAAAAGTCAAACCCATAGAGACCGTGAAAAACATGACGTTCACTATATCCAACCCGGTCCTCAGCAATGCAGTTCCGGTTACCAAAAGCCTCCAAAAGGGCAAAGAACAAAAGGTCCCAAGCACGACTCAACTCTTGCACCATAGCCATGTCACTACAGAATTCGATCCCTTGAGATTTGAAGCTGCAGCATCATTGCAACTGGAATTGCCGCTCGAAAAGCAATACCCAGGTACAGAAATAGACACCCGACTCATTGCATCGCCATACAATAGCGTCCCCCATCTACTGGACATTTCCGAACTGGAAAGACAAGATCGACTCTTCGCATTGGCATTAGCATATTTAAAACCCATTCGCGATGACTATGCCACTGCCGAATACACGGAATCATTCAATTGGACCGAAGTGTTTGATTTGTTGAAAACTTTCTCACAGGCTGAGAACCACACGTGGACATCGCAGTCGTATTATGTTGTTGTTTTCCGGTCAATATTGTTACCGGATATCGACTCGGATCGACTATATGACCTCGATGCGCATTCGCACCAGGAGGCGATTGCCAGTGGGGGGTTGTTGAAGTATTGGTTTGGGGCGAAGAATGATAAGCATCGGAATTTGGCGACTTGTGAGTATTGGATTATTCTTTCTTGGGTATTGTGATCAGTGGCTGATATATCGAATAGGCATTTGGCGCAATCGAAACGATGCAAGACTTGGTGGTCGTGGACCTTGGCATGCTCAGGCAAGAGCGGCTGCTACAGTCATGTATGAGCAGATTCGATTCACCACGTTGAGATTGGATATTGAGGATGGAGTACAGTCTTGGAAGCTGAGTGACTGGAAGGATGATAAGGCATAAAGAGTATTACCTTTGAAAGATTAGCATGGTTAGATCGTTGATGCATTTGACTGGAGTCTAGAACGGGATGACATTATGGGCCTGTATATCTTCATTTAGCGTTGTATCTAGAAAAGCTTTGTTACAGCCAAATTATGTGTGCCTTGTGTGTTACCTTACCTTACAACCTTCCTATAACCACCTAGGCTCCCACCTCGCTCACCTGGGGCCATACCTACCTGCCTCTAGACTAACCTATTTTTTACAACTGTGTATGTATGTGCATCGTCAGCAGCTTGTGCTCCATTGAACCCCTGGTATTCTCAGTGTATCGTCTGGTGCATTGATCTGATACAAGAATCATGTGAAATCTGTTGCTGAATGATGGATTCGCAGTATGAGCGGGAAATGAATGCAATTGATGCAATGTAATGTATTGTGTATAGTAACGAACATGGTAACTCAACCTCACCACGAGATCTTCATGCATGATCACGTTATCTCGTAGAGGCTGTGCACTCCCTTTGGAATCCATATAACTGACGATACCATTCATTCTAGACAAAGAGTGTAAAAAATGGCAAGATAACTGTAGCATACAAACACATGCCCTTTAGAAGCTCAAGGATATTCTTAGGGTATTCGCATGACCCTGTTTGCTCCCTGTCTCATTTTTTTCTCTCTGTTTGTCTCTATAAATGCCTTATGACAGTGAGGGTACTCTCTCTTTCTCTCTTTACCGACCTATCACTTCTTGCTTTCTCTACATACTCTACCGATTACCTGTTTATATACCGATATTTATAATTTCAGCACCAGAAAGACATCCCAGGCATGTGAAGCCAAACTATTCATATATATCAGCTTCCTCTTCCTCACTCTCAGTTCTCTCCCACTCTTCCTTTATAACATCCATTGCATCCATGTTTACAAGTAAGTGTGCATGAAACTCAGAAGAAGACCTTATTGATCGACTCCATCCTACAGCACTAATCATCAAATGATCCTTGCTAGAGCCCATTGTTTAGCCTCGGCGATGAAAAGCTTATCTTCCGTTCCATCATTACGATCTCATCGAGAAGATCGCGGACGAGCATCTCCTACATGGATTGTTTTGGAATTTCTCCTACTATGTGGATATCATTTGCACTGTCCGAGACCAGGGACAGGCTGAGCATGGAAATACTCTCTTCACCCTTCCTACCGAAACCAAATGTAATGGATGCAACAGGGTCTAAGATCGACCTACTTTAGGAATTATCTTTTGTTCTTCTCTCCCCCCACCTGTGTATGATATGTTGCATAGCGTACAAGAAGAGGAGAATTGGGTAATGTTTTGTCTCCAATCTCATCGCCATCTCAACAAAGAGAGTGGCCCCGATGATCTTCACTGATCCTGACCATGGGTACCAGTGGACCCCATTTCAAGCGAAATCGAGACTTCTGCACCCCTCTAGTCTATTCAAAGGAGGTGATACTACCTGATCCTGTCCCATTGGAGGCTGTCTCTGACCCGATCCCAGCACTCTGCTGTCAAACCATCGTCTTCCTTTCGAAACCGTCCGAGACCATTTCCAAGAGTCCCTCGTCCGGGATGCGAAATCCTTACTTATCAGCCTCGATGGTAAGGCGGGGATCGACAAGTCACACCTTATCCTTTTACTCTCAACCACGTTGGCCCAGTTGACCGACGAGGCCGGAGTCCCTGCGCCTGTTCTTCTAGCAGCTCCTATGGGATTCGCAGCCTTTAACACGATGAGATGTACGCTCCACTCACTGTTCAGCCTCCCGCTCAAGCTCGCCGGGGAGTATGTCGCCCTCAGTAGTGACATCCCCGAGGCCGTCCAGCAGGTCTTCCGGGGTGTCCGGTACCTGGTTATTGGCGATAACTCGATGATAGGGCTAGGCACGCTCTTCTGGGTAGAGCGGCGTTGCGAACAGAGCTCCTCGCTCCCAAAGGAGGCAGTTGGACGCAGTGGGTGCCTACCTGAATGCTTCCAGAGAGGACGAGTGGGTGATCTATCTAATACAACCAGCAGACTTTGCGTATAGCGAACCTAACATGGGCTGGGTTTGTCAGTTGAACCAAGCATTTTATGGTTTACATGGTTTGGCAAAGCCGTGGAACGACGATCTAGATTCAAAACTTAGCAAGCTTGGATTTCCTTCTTTCGACGATGACCCTTGTGTCTACATTCGAGGCATAGGAGAAACAACACTGAAACAATGACCGATGACACGGTGAAGTCGGAAGGGGAGGCCATCGCGAACCAAATGCAACGACTGGGGCGTACCCGTCGTGTGGATCTCCGACCGTGATAAGAGGTTCGTTGAAGGACTCGCTGCGATGCAAGCGTCACTCAATGCGTCCACTAATGTGTCAACCGGCGCAACGCCGCACAAGCCCATGTTCGGAATAGACTTACGTACGCCGTGGAACCTCCTCCGCTATCTTCGAGGGTTGAGTGACGTGCTCGATGGCAGCTTTTTCGAGTTGATGGCGCCCAGCTGAAGCCTTTGGTCACCAAGGAGGATGCACTCAAACTGCCCTCCGAGAAGCTATGGTATTTCTTCGTGTTTCCCATCCATCGCCATCTACGCCACCTATCACCATGGATTGAGAAATCCCCAAAGATCGTTCTACGCAGGTCGACTCTCATTCATGGGATATCCTTTATCCTAGAACCACACGACAAAAGAAGCCAGCCATACCTGAGCCTGCTATTGGGCCAACTTTAGGGCCTCTCGTCGAGGTTGAGGCCCATCAGTTTCCTCTTCCATCAAAGCACCGATACTCCAGAGGCAGACGAGCCTGGGGTTGGAGGGTCTGATTCTCGAACCCGTCACCTGAACGCGGCTTGGAATTGGGCTGTTGAACGGAAGCTAGCCTCATGGAACCTTAGAGGAAAGCAACACGGAGTATGTCTTCTCAGAACCCGACGAAAAAAGCCAAGCGGCGGAATATCGGCCCACCCTCTATGGACAACGGCGACATGGAAAAACCAAGTCAGCTCCGCGAAATATGGCTTCATCCTATGCCTCCCACTTTCCTGTCGCACATCGCCAAATGGTCCGCCGCTTTCAATATCAGTGGGGACATCTATCCATAGAGATGGCCCGTCGGGACAACCTGTGCTGATGTGGGCCTTCGCGTCCCCTTCCTGCCTGTTTACGGTGATTACTACATTTTGCGCGGAACGCCCCTGCGCCACTACTTGTGGTCGCTGACCAAGAAAGCGAAAGACATCCCCTTCAGGGAATTCCCCTTTGGCGGGCTTCGCTATCGCGCACATCCTGGTGACCCTGGTCAACAAGCCGGATTTATGAGGAAAGTTCTTGGGGATGAATTGGCCAAAGATTCTGAAGAAGCAGATGACAGTACTGCAACTTTAGATGACCCTTTGGGTTCTTTTGCATATGTATTTCTTTTGGGAATCATATCCCGTAGCGCGTGGAGTAAAAAGGAAAAGAGGAACTTTCCCCGTGATCGACATCTCCACATTTTACTAAAAAAGGTAATGAACGACTTCCCTGATCACGGGGAATATTGCCCTTTACTATATACACTCATAGAACTATGACCAAGAGTCAGCTTCGATTCGGTCTCTGGATAATTCTTTACTTGATGTTCATACTATACCCCTCTATGACAACAGACAGTGCAAAGGGTATAAAATGGCACCGTCCAACCTGTCTCAACGATCAGAACTCTCTTCTAAACAATAACATTTGAATTGAAATTCCTCATCACATCCACCATGGTCGGAATCCAAGCAGACAACCTCACTGTCAACGACGGCCCCTTGACATCAGAGAATGCCACCCTCCTCCGCCCATCAGACCCAACCCTCCCCCTCGAAGAGCTCCGCAACCGCTACGAAAAAGACGGGTACCTCTTCCTCAAACAAATCCTCCCCCGCGAAGACGTGCTCGCCGCCCGGGATGCATACTTCTCCTCTCTGAAATCAACAGGAGTCTTGAAACCCGGCACAGCACCTGTCGAAGGTATCTTCGACCCCGCCAAGAACCATCTAGACTACCCCGGTATTGGGGCAGCCCACGCTGGCGGAAACGGCAAACCAGGTGGTGAACGAGCAGTGGCCTTTGTTGATCTTGCTCTCGATGCACACTACCAAGATTGGTATGCGGAGAAGTTCTGTAACCATCCAGCGCTGTATGATTTCATTGCGCGGTTCTCGGATTGGGGAAAGAATACGGTTAGTTTGCGTCGCACAATTCTTAGGAATAATATTCCTGGATCGAAGCCCATTGGCGTGCACTATGATCAGATCTTCTTGCGGTATGGAGATCCGACTAGTGTCACTGCTTGGGTTCCCATGGGAGATATCAAGCTAAATGGTGGTGGATTGATTTACTTGGAAGATGGTTTGTTTTGGTCCTTTCTTGGTTGGATCTTGGAGAAAACTTTGTATACTGACTGGGTTTGGACAACAGGTGACAGCATTGGAATGGAGATGGAAGAGGCCTTCTATGCCAAAGCGAAGCAGGCTGGGCTGACAGATGAAGAGGCCAAGTCGGCTTTCAACTCCAATATGATGTCCACGGGTCTTCTCTCTGAGCGCCCGGCTGAGTTCGCTCGCGAGCATGGTCGGCGATGGCTGGTGTCGGCGTATGAGGCTGGCGATGTAGTTTTGCACAAGCCGCATATGGTAAGTTGCTCATTATTTACAAAGCCGGATTATACTGATGCTTTGTTCAAGATTCACGCTTCTACTGTCAATAACGATCCGGACAATGTCATCCGTCTTGCGACAGATCTACGGTTCTGCGACTCGTCTAAGCCTTATGATAAGGTATGTATCATCGAACGGGCATTTTAAGCCTAAGCAACCAGGAACAGCGGCTTACATTTTATTTACAGAGATGGATGACCTTTTATAAATTCAACGATGGTGTGTAGGGTGTTACTTGAATGGAGTGAGAATCAAGTCCCAGGATCAATAGTGTTTTACGGTGAACGGTTTCTTCAAGTATTTGAAGATTGAAGAAATCTGTGACAGCCTCCAATCGCAATGCAATCTCCTAATTTTGACTATTATCGAAGGTGGTAAAAAAATAAGCTGATATGGTAGAAGTTGGATAGGGAGAGCATGCGAGCGTGGGGCCGTATCACTCTCTCATTCCAACCGTTTTAAATTGTAGTCCCAGCGAGTCTTTTCTTCTTGGCAGAATCATTATGATCTAACAAGGGCGCACTTGATTCGCAGGAGAGCTCGTCTCTGGAATGTGTTCTGTCACTATCAAGGATCGACACAGGCCCCTAGATCCACAAAGGAAGTCTTTGCTTCGGGAAAATCGGTTTTACGATGGTATCAAGCCAATTCCAAATACGAGAAGTAGAGATTTCTGGTCATTTGAGACGAAGAGAGCAAGGTTCGAATTGTCTACAAGAAAAAACAGGAAGATACATACACTAGGGATATAAACAACGGCATTCGAGTACTATAAAACCTCATTCCGAATGATAAAGAGGCTGGTATTTCGATAATCTCGGGACTTCCCAGAATATACGAAGCATCTGTGGGCTGCAGATCAGACTCTCAGACATTATATCTTATAATAGTTGTGACGCTTGGGATTTATTTGTTCCATGTTATTAGGGGAAGTAACCCATTTCGCAAGCACTTCATCACAACGCTTAAAATCCATACAATATGCCCCCAATTATTTCCAGGACAGCATGGCTCTCACTGCTGTTAGTAGCACTGCTGGCAGTGTCTACTGTCAACGCGCATCCAATCCGCCAGACCGCTGAAATGGAAAATGCACTTGAAGTCCGATCACCGGTTAGTCCCTCAGTCATGGCAATTCATCGAAAGAAGACAATTCTAACAAGATTACAGAGACTTATTCCAGATACCGAGGAGTATGTCCGTACCATCTTGCAAGGGTTCGGTCTGGAAGCGCCAACCCCAACCTCAACCCCAACTCCAACCGTCACACCTACTGCTAGCATCAAGACCAATCAGGACTTGGAGAACATGGAGCCAACACAAACCACACACAGCATCTACTCGAGCCCAATTAGCTACACGTCCACTTATGGCAGCAATGAAGCGGGCTACACTCAAACTGTGGAACACAAGCACAGTGACAACGAACCGGTCGAGAGCGCCCAGGTTGGGGATGGTTGGAACGGGGGCAAGCAGGTAGAGGATTTCACTAAACTCTTCAAGTCTATATATGAGCTGTTGGAGCATCGATTGAAGGATATGATTAACAGCTCCGATGAGATTGGATTGGAGAACTTCGTGTGATGAGGATGTGAAGCGCTAGGAAGAGAGAAGGAAATGAAGGATTATGATTCCGGAAAATGTGAACTTAAAAGGATATCTTGTCATTGATTTTATACAGTGTACTATCATGTTGGATGCAGTCACATTTAGATATATAGCAAAGAGTTTCCGAGTCCATAGTAGTGGTAATAACCGGAGAAGGCAGTGCTGTGCTTATCACTATAATATCTTAGGAGGATATAGCTTTACATAAATGCAAAAATCGTTTCAAGAATCAAGCGCCGACTGTTCATATACAGGCAAGATATTATGTTTTCAACGTTCATTTCTATGTTTCTTAGTAGGGCAGCCAACTTTCTATACAGCTTTATATCTACAATAAAGACAGCAGCTCACAAATATCTGTGCCCTCTGCAATCCACACAATCTCCCGGATAGGTTCATATTAACCCCGATAAACAATACGCGCAAATCGCTATTGATCCGCGAAGCTTAGCGCTAAACTCCGTTAACTCCGTGCTCGCTTTCCAATCACCGGACAACAGCAGTAAAATTCCGCAGGCTATGTCCATAGCCGGGACGAGAAGTTTGATGTCATTAAATTGAAGGTTATATCCAGACTAATATGTGATCACACAAGGCTCGCGGTAAGGATATATCCTTAACTGCGACAAATCCGACCCGGCAGCGGGGCACTATCTCGAAACCGATAAAAGGCCCATCACAGCCCACCAAGTTCGACATCTTGCCAACTATCTCATCTCCCTAGAGTTTTCACATTCATCTTCTATATTAATCATGCCTTCTCTACTCGGACAGGAAGTCGGCCCTATTGGCTATGGCACAATGAGTGCGATTCCCCGCAAACACAATTGGACATTCTGCTAACAAAATCAGGAATGACCTGGAACGCGCAGCTTCCATCAGAAGAGGTGTGCTTCGAGACACTTAATACTACCCTGGAACTGGGTGCCAACTTCTGGAACGCTGGCGAGCTGTACGGCACTGCAGAGTACAATTCCCTACACCTGCTCAACAAGTACTTCACCAAGTACCCTGAGAACGCAGAGAAGGTAGTTCTCAGTGTCAAGGGTGGTTTGAAGGTGGGCGAGCTCGTCCCGGATTGTTCCGAGAAGAATATTCGTCGTAGCGTGGACGAATCTCTCCGTCTGCTTGATGGCAAAAAGAAGCTTGATATCTTCGAATGCGCGCGACAAGACCCCAAAGTTCCCGTTGAGGAGACCATCAAGGTCCTCGCAGAGTATGTCAAGGAGGGCAAGATTGGGGGAATTGGATTGAGTGAGGTTGATGCCGAGACGATCCGCCGAGCGTATGTTCCCTCCTTTTGATTTTATATGGCCTCCCTATGAACAAACCTAACACTAACTGTTTGTATAGACACAAGGTGCACCCAATTGCTGCCGTCGAGGTTGAGATGTCATTATGGTCCACCGATATCCTCCACAACGACATTGCCAAAACCTGCGCGGAACTCAATATCCCCGTCATCGCTTACTCGCCACTAGGCCGAGGTGTTCTGACCGGAGCTGTGACCTCGCTGGCCGACATTCCTCAAGATGACATTCGGCACCATCTGTCTCGGTTCCAGGAAGAAAACTTCCAACAAAACCTGAAGCTCATTAACGAGGTCAAGGACCTTGCGTCTCGCAAAGGTGTTGCACCTGCTCAGATTGCATTGGCGTGGATCCGGACTCAGAGTGAGAAGCCCGACATGCCTACTATTATCCCCATTCCTGGCGGTACTACGAAGGATAAGGTGGTTCAGAATATGGGCGGTGCGCAGACGCTGACAGATTCTGAGATGGCGGAGATCGATGCTATTTTGGAGGAACATACGGTTTCGGGGGCTCGATACTAGGATGTGTCCTGCCAAATAATTTTGTATTTATTAGAGATGGATCATAGCAAATTGGAGTTGTTTGTAATGCGAAGGGTTGTTGTATAGGTCAGATCAAGTGTAGAAGAGTCAACATCCAATCTCGCATTGATTGGTGATCGTCAGGATTGCAAATTCATCAGATGATCATCATGTAATAGAACATGTTCGATGTTGCGTAGAGTTTATTACGCAGGGCAGTCACCAGTGTGTATAGAGGGAAAAGGCGAGCTTACCATTGGGGTTAGTGTGCACTAATACAAAGTAGGTCAGTGCATTCGTAAATGAATCAAGATAGGGTTGTAAGAAATAATAAATAAGATAGAGACAATCATGACCAATATACGGAGTAGTCAATACCTATTCAGGATAATAATGAAGCAAGAAAGGGAGGATGGTGCCTGTTGATTGTAACCAGCTCGCAGTCACGTGAATCGTTCGTCCGCAACTGATCACATGATGTGATACCAATGCCTCCCTCGCGCGACATCGTCTCGGCGACATCTCGGCGCAGTATAATAAACGGGGTCAATCGTTTGCTACCTCTTCCCCTCCTATATACAACCTATCATTCACAATGGCTTCACGAGACTCTCCTGGTTCTCCGCTCTCCTCGGTGGGATCCCTCGAGACTTCAGACCATGAATCCATGAAGCATGAGAGCCGCGCGCATTCGCCCTCAATGTCCAACATGCCCCCCTCCAAGCGGCGTCGCACCGGGGTTGCCTCGTGGGACCGACAGACTCCGGTCTCCTCTGCCCAAGACGAAAACCACCCACCTCCATCCCCAACTGCCTCCATCTCCTCCGACAGCTCTGGCGAGATCCCCAACTCCCCCAGCATCCTTACTCTCCTCGGCACCAATCAAGAAGAAGACTACAGCGGACAGAGCACTGACCAGGTTACCATTTGCCGATGGGACGGATGCACCGCTGGCGACCTCGGAAACATGGATGGGTTGGTGCAGCACCTCCACAATGAACACATCGGGAGCCGACAGAAGCGCTACTCATGCGAGTGGACCGATTGCACCCGCAAAGGGCAAACCCATGCTAGTGCCTACGCCCTGCGCGCACATATGAGAAGTCACACCCGCGAGAAGCCATTCTACTGCACGCTACCAGGTATGTGTCTCACACCCAGATTCGAGTCCTCTAAATGGGGTAATATATTTCAAATACTAACAATGAAACCTACAGAATGTGACCGCAACTTCACCCGCTCCGACGCCCTCACCAAGCACATGCGCTCTGTCCACGAGACCGACACCATGCGCCCCATTGACTCCATCTCAAAAGTCCACGGCGCCCCAGGCAGCACTACCGGCACCCCAGCCTCGAAGCTGCAACGCATCCGCTTGAAGCTGACCCAACCCCGGGAGCCAGGCACGGAGTCTGAGACACACACCGAAGCAATCACTATCGTGCCAACCCCCATCACAACCACAACCACAACCGACGCACACGATCCCGACGAGACCTCGATGCCGGAGTTTGGCCCAGAGCTCGACTTTGACGAATCCGAGCTCCGTCTACCCCCACGTGACCTCTACCGTCTCCTCCGTCGACAGATTGCCTGGGCTGAGAAGGAGGCCACACAGCTGCAAGCCGAGTGGGAAACAATCCGCCCCCAGCGTGAGCGCGCATGGCGCGAGAAGGAGGCCATCTTTGATGACCTCATTGACGCTGAGATTAAGTTGTTCAGCGCAATGGTCGGCTCTGTCCCCCCCGCACATCTAACGACCAGCCTCGAAAAGCTGCAGCAGCAGCAGCAGCAGTTCCAACATCAACAGGAACAGCTGGCGAAGTCGGCCGACGTGCCGACTATCGAGGGCAGCACTTAGCTGGCTCGTGTTGACTTTCTCCTTGCTTCGTCCTCACCTCACCCCCCTACTTCGCGTCTCCCATTTGTCTTTAACCTTCTCTTCCCCGGGGGTGTGCTCGCTGAGGTTGATCTCAGTTCTGCGTCAGTTTGCAGTCACCATTTCTTTTGTTTCCCTCATATCCCGGCGTGCATGGTGTTGGTGATTGCGTTCTTTTATTTGTATCTTCAAGCCTGGGCAGGATGAATCCTGCAACGGAATGTATGAATAGCCGTTTTCTGTTTTCCTTTGCTTTCTGGCCTGGCCTACTGGTCTTGCTTAATGACAACTCACCACTGTGGGTGATTACTACAATTATCTTGTCAGACAATATTTTCTTCTCGTTTAGGTATTATAATGGAAGATTGAATGGAAGGGTCCTTTTTTCTTGGTTACTTTGTATGTCTTTGTTCCAGCGCCAATGGGCGATAGGGCAAGGCCCATAGGCTATCAATGCGGCCGATGTGTTCCCCAGTGATGTTGTGTCTTATTGCTGAGCACATTTAGTTCCTAGATATGCCCGAGCAAAAACCATTGAAGAAGTCACATCCTCAAGTCCATCTAATATGGTGACCTAGCTAATATAAGAGCGTCAAATTCGACTTCGGGCTAAGCTTTCAGGTCTAATCGGCGGGTCCACGGGTAAGCCCCCAGGGCGCCCCTGAGCCCCGCCACCTGGGCCCCGCCAAGGCACCTTCAGCCCGGGGATGTCTGTACCTTGTAGATATTCATAGTATTTGAGGAACAATAATTCATACTACGTTCTAACCAGAAAGAAAAGCGAATGAAAGTCGAATAACATGCTCCCATCTGAATGATCCCATAAGGAAAACAGTCGACGCCACTCCATAAGATACATGAAAGAAAAACAAACTGCCCTTGATTACGGATGCCTCCATAGGAAAGAATCCTGGTATGCTCATAGCATACAAAGCAAACTAAAGCAAAGGGGATATGAAACGATTGACTCAATCCAGGAAAATACCATGGAGAGCCAGTCCAAAACTCCCCCATTGGAAAACCTTGAAAACATTGAAACAAAGAAACCCCCAAACGCGCCATGCAGTGATCATCCAAGACCGTATACGGGTCATGCTCATTTCGAAAATTCTGTCTGTGCTTTTGGGGCGCAAAGAATTCGACGCCATTCGCAATGCCGTGCAACAAGTTGCATCCATATGTACCTTCAACAAAGAGCAAAAGAGAGAGACGGAGTTCACACCTTGATGAGGACAGGTCAAGGAATTGTGCGAGAATTGTGCGAGATATTTGAATAAGATGACGATAACAGCGACTTCAAATATCTCGAGTCCAATGCAAAGAATACCGGAACAACGTGGTCCAAGATTGGGAGTGGGAACATTGTAGAGGGAGTAGAGGGAGCAGAGATCGCAAGAAAAAATACGCTGAGTGTCTATCATCAAAAAAGAAAAAAAGGACAGGTAGATAGATATCTGATATCGAAAACGCTGAACATGCATGTCATCAAACCGTGCTAAAGTGAAGTTGAACTGAAACAAAGAACACCTGTACCCATGGTGATGAGATACGGAACTCAAGCCGAGCTGCCATTAGAAGCCTTGGAAGCTTTACTGGCTTCCATGACCTTATTGAACATCTGCTGCAACTTAGCACCACTGGCATCTTTGTTTGGCCAGTAGTTGACTGAAACGTAATCCCTGGAAATCATGTCAGAACGTGAAAGATAAATGTGATAATAAAGAGAACTTACCAGAGTCGAACCTCCAAGGAGGGCATCGATTGCGAGCCCTCCAAAGTATTGCGAATGAATTCTCCAATCTTCACAAGCGTAAGACGGAGTTTCTGGGCCCGCTCATTTTTGCTTGGGTAATTTTTGGCAGTAATCATTGATACTTGCTTCAAGTTGGCAACGATAGGCTTGAAGAACATGAACGCCATGTCTTCCTTATTAGAACCGCCGTTCTCATGACCTTTGCGGCGGCGAAGCTCGTCATTAGAGGCATCAGATAGACGATGACGTGGACGATCAATATCAAGACCAGACCGTGGACGAGAGTCATGGCTAGGAGTATGATGACGATCAGGGCCATCGCGGCTGCTGTGCGTGTGGGGGCGAGGCCGTGATCGATCAGAGTCACGGTGGCCCTTACGGGGATTCTCAGGCCTGCGAGAGCTCGAGGGCGCCGGAGAGGCCGAGACACTGCCACTACCGGAAACCCGTGAGCCACGCTTATTATTTCGGTGGTGGTTGTCGACTGCCCTTCTTGCTGTAGCATTGTTATTGTACTTGTTTCTCAAAACAGACATGAGGTATTCAGCTCGTCGGACAAGGTGGACAGCGCCCGGGGATTTCGTTGCCTTCTCCTCGGTCTGCAGGCGTTGTGTCTTTCGCTCGACTCGGTGTTCTTCAAGGAAGAATTTATCTCCGAGGCCAAGCTCAGTGTCATCACGAATCTGGGTCCACGCACCAAACCCATGGCGTGCAATACCCACAAGAAGCATTCCGTCTTCACGCGCACCCCACTGGCAGCTGTAGTCTGCCAATTTGGTAGCCTCAGGGAGCCGGAAAGTCCGGAAATCAGGCAATGATTTGATGATGCTTCGGATAAGGCGCATATCCGGTGGACGCTCAACGATAGTCCATGCGTTGAGTCGCTTAACACCCTGATGGTCGAATAATACGGCCTTCTGCTCTTTCTTCGTGGGGTTCCTACCCGATTGTTTCATGGCCTCTAATTGATCCAGGCTTGCTTGGACAAGCGAGTTTGCCTTGTCGGTAATTTCATGAAGAGCAGCACGAACGGTGCCGCGATCGCGAGTTTGCAACCTGGCATCCTCGAGAATGAGCTCTTCAGAGTCATCCATATCGCCGTAGCGAAGGAAAGCTCGAGAGAGCGCACGGTATTCTTTCTCTCCGAGGGGGCGCTTAGGATCTAGTGAGGCACTCTCTTCCTCGCCATCGTCCATATTGACTTGAGCTCTTGCGAGTCGTTTCGCCTTGCGTTCCTCTCGTGAATCTGTCGTGTCCGCAGGGGCGTGGCGCTTGCGGGGTCGATTTTGCTCAATGACTTCTGCAAGATAATGATCATCATCTTTTCGTTTTTCCTCGGCCTTGAGCACTTCGAGCTGTTCCTTGGGA